TTAGACCATGAGACTCGGGTTCTAATCTCACCATGGTCGATTTGTCAGGAAGGAGACATCTTGATGTTATCGGACTGGAAGGGTCGACCCCAGCGTGCGGTACTTTTGGAAAATACCTGAAAACCACACCACGGGTTGACCCAAGCCTTGTGAATAAAATTAGGTAGACGGAACCCTTAGGTGCCGTCGATAACTGTGCTAGCACAAAATCATATGTCATCGTGGCCGAGGGTTTGAGCGTGTTGGTCTTGTTCAAATTGTTGATCACGCTAGGTAACACATTCTTTCCCAGAAATATAACTACGGTCTGCTCAGCATAGTTGCAGTATAAGGCACAGGAGCGCTCTGTGTGTATTGAACAAACACAAATGCGCCTGAGCAAGCGTTTGCAATAGGGATTTGTTAGCCACCCTCGTGGACTGCTATACATATATACATACGTACACGAAAGAATTGTAGATTGATAAATAGGCAATATACATTTTTTTAAGCATTACGCCCCAAGCAAGGCGTGAAGCCACGAGGATGCAGGGGGTTGCGGAAGATTTGGAGCGAGAGCAGATAAGAGTGATAGGAGAAAGGATGAAGAGAAGGATAGTGGGTAGATCAAGGTAACTGGAGATGTCGATTGACATTACATTTGAATTGTTGAAGATTATAGCTCTCAGGGAAACAGTAATTGGGCAGGGTGTTCCACAGGCGAGAGGTGCGAGGTATGAAGCTATTGGAGTAGAAGAGACGGCTACATTTGAAAGTTTCTACAGTGTAAGGGGTGGGAGCGGGATGCCAGCCTCGTAGAGCGCTTGAATTCATGGAGTCTGGGGAACCAGAGAAAGCAGCTCGTCAGAACAGTTACCATGGAAGTATTTGTAGAAAAGACAGAGAGAGGCGACGGCGCGTCTGTGAGAGAGTGACTGCAGACGAGACGCTAGATCAGGGCCAATTATATTACATATCCGTCTCTGGATCTTGTCAAGAACCCGAGATACATTCATAAATGCATACACGAAGCTATTGTAGATTTATAAATATGCAATATACATACATACATACATACATACATGCATACAGGAAGGAATTGTATATTAATAAATATGCAATATACTTACATACATACATACACACACGAAGGAATTTTAGATTTATAAATATGCACTATACATACATACACGAACGAATTGTAGATTTATAAATATGCTATATGGATTCGTATGAGAGAAATATTCTGTCACTACATGAGTGAACCAACTTTTCTTGTAGTAGATATAGCAATTGATTCAATACAATCACTAAACTTCTGATCAGTGGACAACGTGAACCGAAGAAAGCGTGGAGTTTTTCTCTCCTGGAGTTTATCATCAGCCATGATGAAGGTAGTTAGAAAATCTTTCTCGGTGGGGATTAAATGAAAACAGTTTTGTGGGCTTTAAAATTTCCAAGCAATTACCTGTCCTAGTTAATCACTGATTGGAGGTCCTTTTCAAGGGCAGCTACCAGGTTTATTTTTTGAGATCTGACGGATTGCGACAGGAGTAATTGGTATGATTGAGTATTTAAATGAATGTTCATCAGGTAGTTGAATTAATAAACCAATGCCATCTTCGCCTTTGTATATAAAAATATGCAGAAAAATAAATCCTACATTTACCTTGATAAATGTCCCCCAGAGAAAAAAAACACATCGGCAATGAATAGTTCTTTTGTCTGTTTTATTTATGTTGTCTCTTCTACAGGTACGCTCTATCTGAGAATTTTTACACATCCACTGTGCCATGTGTCCTTAAGGACACATGGAACAGTGGATAAAGGCGTTAGTTAGATCCAGTGACAGGACCAAAGAGTACGAGTTCAATACCTGGTTAAAGCGGTAGAAAACTTGGAGAGGGGAATCAACAAGAGATAACTGATGACTGACACACATTAGACATGTCACGTGGAACTAGAACTCTCTACCCCAATGAGCGAAATAAAGGGTTCAGTTCGACATTCCAACCACCTGAAGAAGACCGGAGCGTACAATGGCCGAAACGTTGTAATAAATATGGCTATAAAGATGAGGAGAATAGTCCAAATAATATAAATAGTGTAAATAATACCTCATCCAAGACATATAGACAAATACTGAAGGATCGAATAAATATGGCAACAAGGATGACGTCGATAGTCCGAATAATGTAAATAGTGTACATAATACCTCATCTCAGAAATATAGACATACATTCACTCTTTTTTTATTTTACATTTTTCTTATTTTATTTTGAATCATTTTCTCTGCATTGATATATGTACTATTATTATTATTATTATTATTATTATTATTATTATTAGTAGTACTTTATTTTATTTTGATTTATTTTATTTAATATTATTGTATTTTATTCTATTTTATCACAGCAAACTATATTCTTGATATCGTGAGTTTTAGTTTGTTTAGTAATAATATTACGAATTACTCTCTTGATTTTTGGAAAAAAATAGAGTTGCCTCCCTTGATTTCCAAACTCCTCTTTTTTGTCTACTTACGTTTTCAAAATCTAATTTAGAATTTATATTTCTTATTTCTAACCTTATTTTTAATCTTAAATATTAATCTGGGCTTCAATTCAAATTCAAAATTAAACTACAATTCATTTAACTAATTAATTAAAATAATATTCCACCCCAAATATAATATACCTCGCGCGATCCAGAAAATCTATTAAAATAAACGATGTCAACCCAAAATATAAATAAGAATAAAAATAAATATATATAATAATTCCAGCACTTGAAAATTGTTTCGGCATGAAACTCGGAGTTGTACAATTAATGTAAAATATAATGTATATTTCTTAATATATATATATATATATATATATATATATATATATATATATTATACTATTTTCGGACTATCATATGTTGCCATATTTACACAACGTTCTGGCCGTTGTACGTTCCGGCCTTCTTCAGGTGGTTGGAATATCGAACTGAACCGGGTAAACTGTTCTAGTCTCACGTTCCCATATTGTATTCATTTATATGCTTGTTCGGCAAAGGAAAATTTTGTGGCCTAGCATATGTGCTGATTCCTCAAGTTTACGAATTATCCAATGATGTTCATTGTCTATGATTTCAACCTGATCCCACAGAGGGTGGTGATTTCCCTTTTTTCTCCATATGTGGTTTACCCCAGCGAGCGAAATAAAGGGTTCAGTTCGACATTCCAACCACCTGAAGAAGGCCAGAGCGTACAACAGCTGAAACGTTGTGATAAATATGGCAACAAAGATGAGGATGATAGTCCAAACAATGTAAATAGAGTACATAATACCTCATCTCAGAAATATAGACTATACCTATCTGCTACGATGGCTAGTTAATCCCTATTGCAGGTGTCTACTCAGACACATTAGTGCTTGTTCAACACCTACAGAGCTAACCTATTGTTTATACTGATACTATCATGAGCAGACCTTTGCAACTGTTTCTTGGAGTGAACGTGTAATCTACCGTAATCCAAAAACATTAGTACGCTCAAACCTCACGATGGTTGTATAGCTATCGATAGCTTCCGAAAAATTCCGTCGACCGTTTTCCCTGACGTGGCTTGGTTCAACCCGCGGAATTGTTTTCATGCACTTCCTTACTGTGCCGAACATTAGAATCATTTCCTCGAACCGATAACAATCAAAAGCCATGGTGATATTTGGAGCCGGGTTTCATGGACACACCTCGACCATTCAAAGCACTAAACTCGTGATGATCAGAGATTGGCAGCTGATCTACATCTAGCTTCCCAGTGGGGGAAAACCGGCTGGTTACGTTCAAAGCCTCAGAAATCAAACTAGTTACATTTAATCATCGTCGATCTGACCCCGAACTGCACAGATCTCAAGGAAAAGAAAGCTGTGGAGTTACCTGCGAATCACCCTCAGTGGATCTGTAAATGACATTACAAGATTTCTTCTGTTAATTTTGATTTTCATAAAAATTTCTTCATGGGACAGCACTGAAAAATGACCTTTTGACAATGAAAAGTAGTCTGTCTGCAGCATATTTAAAAAAATAAATTAACTCTGTTATATATGCTGCAGACAGGCTACTTTTCGTTGTATCAAGGTGTCATTTTGTCAGTGTTGTCCCATGAAGAGATATACTTAAATATTTGAAGAAATGTGAGGGGTATACTCACTTTTGTGATACACTGTATGTAATGAAGGAACATGTTATCTAAAAAAAATAAAATTCAGGTAAAATCCAGGAGATGCAAGGCAGAGAGACTTGGAAGCTTGGCGCAGAACAATCTTCCTTCACTGATTTTAGCACCTTTTAGCGCCGTGTGCCGGATTAGACAAAGAAGAGAAGATAACAAGAAAAATGATAAAATGCAAAACAAAATTTGAGAACGAAACGGGAAAATAAGGAATAATTTTTTTTTTTTTTTTTTTTTTTTTAATTAAAGACAATTGGAAAACACCTGAAAGAAAAAAAAGAGAATCTAAAAGAGAAAACTCAGGTAGGATTGAAAAAAACAAAAAAACAATACTGTCAGATTTTGCTATGGTGCCGGGAGAGAAACCTGATGGAACGTGATGATGCTAGATTGAAAATCGGATACACCAGTAACAATAATCAATGGAGAGTGGAGAGAAAAAAAGAAGATTAAAGGGTAAGACACGGGGTATGTTGGTAGCGAGGAGGATGGGGGCCGATGAAGGAATACGATTGACAAAAGATGAAATGAAAGAAAAGGGACAGAGATAAAAAAAAGGCAATTTTCTAACAGATTCACACATATACACAGAAAAACAGACGCACACAAAGACACACAAATATTTCCAAGAACTCTTTTGTTTTATCGTCCGTTTGGTTGATTTATCTATCTTACTTTGTGAAATGGCGAAGGCAATTGACAATTCGAATTCTAATTTTTAATCCAGGTAGGCGACAATATTAGAACTGCCGAGTTTAAAGGCAGATATGCTTTAGTATTTCACAACTCTACGTCTGCATAACAGACACCTGTGTATCTATCTATCTATTCATTATATCTATCAATCTATCATCTATCTATCTATCTATCTATCTATCTATCTATCTATCTATCTATCTATCTATCTATTTATCTATCTATCTAATTCAGTCTGTTCATTCATCTATATCTATCTATCTATCTATCTATCTATCTATCTATCTATCTATCTATCTTATTTTGTGTGTTCATATCTATCTATCTATTCTGTCTAATTTATCCATATCTATCATCTATCTATCTATCTATCTATCTATCTATCTATCTATCTATCTTTTCAGTCTGGATCATACCTACTTCATCTACCTGTTCATCTAAATATCTATCTAATTTAATTCAGTGTGTTCATTATTCATTCATCATCTATCTATTCATCTATCTATCTATCTATCTATCTATCTTATCTTTCTTCCTCCTACTTATCTGCCATCTGTTCTCAGTCTCTGTTCACATCTATCCATCTATCTATTATCTATCTATCCATTTCATCTGGATCATCTATCTAATTCATCTATCTTCATCTATCTATCTAATTCAGTCTGTTCATCTATCTATCTATCTATCTATCTATCTATCTATCTATCTTATTTTGTTATTCCTATTCATTCATTCATCTATTCATATTCATATCTATCTATCTATCTATCTATCTATCTATCTTATTTTGTTCCTACCAAATACTTTTAATCTGTTCATATCATCTATCTATCTATCTATCTATCTATCTATCTATCTATTCATATCTAATTTAGTCTGTTCATATTCATCTATCTATCTATCTATCTATCTATCTATCTATCTATCTATCTATCTTATTTGTTCCTATCTGTTTCAGTCTGATCTCCGTCTAATTTAATCTATCTATTCATCATATCTATCTATCATCTATCTATCTATTTATCTATCTATCTACTGTTTCTAGTTCATCCTATCTTCATATTCAGCCCGTTCATATCTATCTATCTATCTATCTATCTCAGTTTGTTGTTCTCTCTTTCTCTCTCACTCTCACTCTCTATCTATCATTACGTTATACAGAAACAATTATGCATCTATATCACTATCTAATGTTTAATCATCTGATGCTAATCTCGGGGAGAGTGACTCATTGAGCCTTATCGGTTTAACGTTTTCAGGTATTATGAAGCGGAAATATTATCTCGAATCAACTGCCAGGTCGACTTCTCATAATTTTTTTCTCGTCCAAATCTACCTTACATATTTACGTCTACCAATCGTTCCTGCTTTGACTATTGCTTTCACATATGCTGTTTCTGCTATATATTTCGAGATTCTTGATTAAATCCAAAGAAGAATCTGCAATGCCATTGGTCCTGACACGGCATCTCGGCTTATGTCCCTTTCCCTCCGCCGTAATTTAGTTTTCTTGTGCCTTTTCTATCATTATTTACATGGTAATTGTTCAGATGGCATCAAGACTTTATGAATTAAAGCACAGTACGAGATCTTCAACAAGGTATCGTCATTTTATAGTTGAAATGGTTAGACGTAACCCTAAGTTCTATAATAATAATTCCTTATTTACATTATTCGGACTATTGTCCCCATCTTTGTCGCCATATTTATTACGACGTTTCAGCCGTTGTACGCTCCGGCATTCATCACGTGGTTGGAATATCGAACTGAACCATTTATTTCTCTCACTGGACTACTCTTGTTCCACGTGCCATGTTTAATGGGTGTCAGTTGTCAGTTATCTCCTGTTAGTTCCCCTCTCCGCTGCCTTAACCGGGTCAAGGACACATGGCACAGTGGTTAAAGGCCTTAGTTAGATCCAGTGACAGCAACCAAAGTGTCTGAGTTCAATACCCGGTTTCTCATTGACTATACTTATTTTGTTTATCATACGCACACTATTTTTATTGAACTACCCTTAATCCTCAAAATTAATATCCCCTACAATTAGGTTCTCAATGGCCAGTCAGTTTAGACTGTCTGTACAGAGAATGGTTTTTCTGTAGACCCCGAGAGATGTTGCTTGTCTGACACATGCGTAAAACACGGACTCCTGAATTACAACCTGCTAGATTTGTGAGTAAAGAAATAATTTTTGTAACACTCGCTAGTTTTCCTTTTCTTTTTGGAGAGAAGGCACATCCCTTCTACTCTTTCTAGGTAATAACACTTCGTTTACCTTCATCCGTCTTCTCGTTAGCCGTGTTTATTTCTTTATTTTTAATGTTTAGGTAGGTAAATATCTATAACTGCACAACAGGTACCACATATATTTGGTAAACCCAACACACTTTTGAACACCCCTGTCTTGTTTTGCTGTTATTCATATGTTGCATTGCAGTTTAGACCAAACACAGTGTTCATTGACAAGGTCCAGGTCTCTTCTTGTGGCTCAAAAATTACTCTTCGAGTAAAGAACAAAACAATATCTAGTAGTAAACCATATTTTATACTTAGGTAGTAACTTTATTCTATAACTAACGCTGAGGCGTAAGCGAGATGTGCAGTTCAAGACACTTCATTTTTTGTCAGTATTTTTGCGAGATGATCAGTTTTATAGACAACAGTTTTCTTTGTCCTGTCATCGTCGTCTTTTTAGAAGATGACAGTCATTAGTCTTCTTCTGATCACTTTCTCTCAGTCTGAGCCTCCTGCTCTTTTACTTTGAAGTTGACTCCAGTTACTGATAATTCAGTCAAAAATAAATACTCCGCATCGAGTTGTGCGATAAGTCCCGCAGTTTTAATTTTAAGAAGACCTCAGCTTGACTCATATTGCTGCAGATATTTAATAACATACTCAGAATTTTGAACCTTTATTCAATCCATAGAGTTTCCCATACTTCGGAGATATAATAGTGAGGGATTTCTAAACTATTTCCCTTAGTCTTGCGTGTTCGTTTTTTCCCCCTGAACCCAGATACATTACCAAGTGTAATAAAGTGGCGGTTGAAATATACTTGTTTCTCTGTCATGTTTTAGTTAAGCTCTTGATTACGGATCCGCCTAATACACAGGATCAGTAGGCAAAACAGACACGAGATACGAAGGTGAATAAAACTGGTGAGTATGAACTGATATGAAAGCATGGACACGTGGAATCAGAAAAATTCTACCCTCTGAATTGAATAAAGTGTTTACTTCAAAATTCTGCAACAGACGCCTGAAGAAGTCCGAAGGCTACAGCAACAGAAACGTCGTGAATATAACCACCAAAATGAGGATCCTCGAGTGGAAAGGCATAAAATAACTTATATTTCCTTTTCTAAGAAATTCTCATGTAATTTAAAGCCGGAAGTTTCAAACGGCTTAAACATTGTGACTATAAAAAAGCATGAAAATACTAGACGGAATGTCTATCCATTTAATATCTATAATTCCTCATCTAAAAAAATCCGACATAATTAATGAGAGAAGGCTGGAGAGTTCAACGGTCGGAACATTATGGCTATAATAATTAAGGTAAGGATACTAGAGCGAATGGAAAGGCGTATAATAATGATAATTCTTTCTCTCTGAAATTCCGACATAAAAAATTCAATAAGGCCGAGAATTTAACGGTCGAAACTTTATGATTGTAACAATAAATTAGAAGATGTCAAATGTAAAAGTGATATAAATGTGAGTTCCTTGATGAGACCCAAAGAAGAATCAGCAATATTATTGGTCCTGATCTGGCGGCTCGGCTTCAGTTACTTTCCCCATCGCCGTAAGTTTGCTTCTCTGTGCCTTTTCGATAAATAATTCCATGTAATTGTTCGAACGAGCTCTTTGCTATGTACCTAGACTTTATGACTTTAAGCGCAGTACAAGACTGGCGTCGGGATCTCATCAATTTACATTTGAGGTGGCTAGATTGAATCGTAAGTTCTATGCTGAGAGTTTTATCCCTGCACTTCTCGCTTCAGCCAATTTTAATCTTCAAAAATGTAAATGCAATATCAATCGCTATCTACTATCCTCCTGATTAATCTTTTCTCACTCTGCTCATTAATTGTTCTGTTCCTAATTCTTTCAAACAGAGTAGCCCCTTGTGTTTTAAACCTTTCAGTCCTGCGTTCTTGAACAATTGTCATCCTTCTGCCTGAACTCCTGAGTCAAATTTCACAAATAATTCGTATGCACTGTTTCACGGTAGATATAAAAATAGTCACAAGTGTTTTCCTACCGTTCAACCAATGGCTGGGCATTACGTCATTTTTCTCTACTACTGTTCAACCAATGGCTTACGCATTTTCTCTACGTCATTTTGGCTGGGCTACTACTGTTCAACCAATGGCTGGGCATTACGTCATTTTTCTCTACTACTGTTCAACTAATGGCTAGGCATTACGTCATTTTTCTCTACTACCGTTCAACCAATGGCTGGGCATGACGTCATTTTTCTCTACTACTGTTCAACCAATGGCTGGACATTACGTCATTTTTCTCTACTAAATCGGTGATCAGCTCGAAAAGGGTTAATGGCTTTACTTATCTTGCTTTTGTTGATACCAATTAAAATATAATAATAATTCATAATCTGGAAAAGAACAAAAATAATTAAAAAAAGGATGGAATGTACAACGGCCGAGACCTTGTGAGTTTAGCAATCAAGATGATGATACTCGTTCGAATAAAAACGCCTATGATAATGATAATTCCTCATCTCAAAATTTTCTGAAGAAATTATCTAAGCAGTGTTAAGTCTGGGAATTCAACAGACGACTAAGAATATCTTTTCCTGGCTAAAATATATAACATCACCATATTTCACACTGCATAGCAAAAAAATATCTTCATAATATAAGTAAAAATATGTCTACAGCAATTAATTTATCAAAATATAATTACGTTTTATAATTTCAGAGTGTGGTGGGTAGGCAGTAAGAAATAAATGTCTTCCTGTTTACTGAATTTCAATTTTTTCGATAGGCTGTCTAATTAACAAAAATTTCCTGTTGTATGACGTTCAAGATGTTTAGGTAAGTTTCTTTACTTGGTCACGCACAAAGAAAACTTTTCATTCTGTATATTTATGTAGATTAATGACAGAAAACTAAATAGTGAAAGGAAGATTGTGTTACGTCATCAATATGTACAGGAGGTGCCTGCTTGACTTAAAACGCATTATTTACAATTCTGTTTTATTTTTTATATTTGGTTTGAAAATGTGACAAGAAGAAAGTTCGATACTCACTGGGTGCACCACACTTTCGGCCTTAAGCGTAGAAAATCGTTTGGACACTTTTATGTGGCGTAATGGTTAGCAAGCTTGTCTCTCTAGTTCAATTATGATTAAGGAGAGAGTTCGATCCTCACTGGGTTCCCACATATTCGGCTTTGTGCCACACTTAAGTTACGCTTAGAAAATGATTTTGACACCTGGATGTGGCGTAATGGTTAGCAAGCTTGTCTCGCTCGATAAATTACGACTAAGTAGCGAGTTCGATTCTCACTGGGTGCCGCAGGCTTTTGGTCTTTTGCCACATTTAAGTTACGCTTAGAAAATCATTTGGGCACATTGATCTGGCGTAATGGTTAGCAAACTTGTCTCTCTAGATCAATTACGATTAAGTAGCGACTTCGATCCTCACTGGGTGCCGCAGGCTTTCGGTCTTTTGCCATATTTAAGCTACGCTTAGAAAATCACCATACCTAATACGTCTGTTCGTTCGTTTTCGAGTATGCCTCTCTGCTTGAGTGTCTAGTTAATCCTTGATGTAGACGCCTGCTCAGGCACACTCGTGTATGTTCAATCCCCACAGAGCCAACCTATGGTTTACGCTGCAACTATATTGAGCAGAACTTACTTAAAGTCTCTGAGGGAGGGAGAGAAAGAGAGAGAGAGAGAGATAGAGAGATAGAGCATAATCTGGTGTGATCAACATTTTGAACAAGGCTACTTCGCTTGCGGAATTAGTAACAGTGACTTTAACATCAAAGAATTTCGTCTAACAAATTTCACTCAAAAGGATTGGATCAACTCGTGGTATGATTCTTAGGCACATTTCAATCGTACAACATTCTGGAATCTTTGCCTTTGGAGAATATCTACCGAAAAGTCCCTAATCACCTTGTGTTTGGATAAATTGACTCCATTTATTAACAAAA